ATTATACCCAAGGTTATTTGGCTAGTAAATAGCAAAGCCCAGAGTAAGTGAGTCATCTCCCTCTTCCTAGCCTAGTGCTCTTTGCTCTGAATATGCCACACTACTCCTCTTGAATTGAGAATTTGAGTCTTCAGAATGTTTCTTAGATGTTAACTGCCTGGAAGGCAGAAACGATGGCTTTTGTTTCTTCTGTAGTTCTTTGTAGCATTTGTCCACACAGTGGAGGCTCAGCAGGAATATTTGTTAATGGAGATACGGACTTGACTTCACGGAAAAGAGGCTTTGGCATCAGACGGATGAAGAGCAAATTCTAGGCTCAGCCACAAGGATGTGGCTGCATGATTTCGGGCAACAAGTTATTCGATGTGTGAACCTAACTTTTATCTCACCTGTAAAATATAGACAAAAATAACTATATTGTAGTATTATTTTATGAATTTAAAACACTATTTGTAAATATCAGCATAGTAACTGTGAGGTAGGAGATGCCCTCTTTTTAGTGATAACTAGGGATCTTTTGACTCTTTTTTTGTAGCTCCTCTCCCCTCCTTTTTTTTTTTTCCTTCAGAGGAGTGTTTTTATTTGTTCATTGGCCTTGTTTTATATGTTTTTCATCTTAAAAACTAAAGTGCCAGGCTTTAGAATGGGGCAACCTGTTTTGCTAAAAGAACATCCTCATATCTGACCCTATTAATTTTGAGGAGCTGGAAGAAAGGGAAATCTGCAATTTACCAGAAGCAGTTATATCATGTTCCTCATTTCTTGCCCCCTTTGGTCAGGCAGTTTTGTTACAAACAGCTGATCCAGAAACATTCTTTAGAGGAAAATCTGAATTTGTGGGTCAGATTTCCTAAAAGTCAGATACTGTCTTTGTCTGAACCTGACTAAGACCTTGGAAACCTGAAACTTAAAAATTAATTTTGAATTTTGTTTGTGGTATTTGCAAGAAGAGTTATAATTGTTTATTCATGAAGTTCTCTGAGGCTATTAGATGTGGCAACACTAAAAGTTACCCCATTTTAAGATTGTCTCAGTTCTCTAGAATATTCTTTTTTTAATCAAAAGCCTTAGACTTTATTTGATTTAAATATGTTTTAAGTTAAAAAAGTTATAATTATAATCTAATCTCATTTTCTGGAGAAATATGTTTTATAAGCAGTTTAATATAATAAATTTAGGAGATCCCTACTTTCCATGTGTCATTTTACTCTCTTACTAGTATTTGTCTTATATTCCGCTAATGGGGTTAAAGAAATGATTTCTGTGTCATTTGACTTGGTGTCTTAGGGCGTTTCTTTTGCAACAACAGCTGCTCTCCTGTTCTGAGGACCTCTTCCTGGGCCTGTAACTAACCTGGGAATTTGACTCTTAAGTTGGCAATGTTTAGGAATTTAGGAAGCCAGTTTTCCTGGTTCTGAAAAGGAGTAATTTTCTGTTTTTATAAAAAAGGCTAATTAATGATCAGTTTGTATTGGAACTGAAATCCTCTCCTTTTGGTCTAATGGTCCAGACCATTTTATCTTATGAAGTGAACTTTTCACAGAGTACTGCTGTGGTCCTATAATAATACACTACCTTATATGTACTGTTGACTACCATTTTACATGTGCACATTGAAGGAATCAGGTTGAAAATGCCAAGCTTTTAATTATAGGTGTTAGGCACTAAGGAAGAGCATTTTAAAGATAATTTCACACTCATATCTCTTCCCTCCCCTTCATTACTAGGTTGGATAATTTAGTCAAAGCATAGTCCCCTTTCCTATTTGTCTGGAAATAATTATTTACTGAGGAGATATGTGCTCAGTGGAAGAAAGGTTTGGCAAGTGATACATATTCTTTAGCTCGTTGGTGTTGGGAGCATATGTTAGTGATCCTATAATAAAAAGCACATGCTTAAAAAGTGGTTACTGTGTGTGGGTAGTAACTATTTTTATGCAGTATTGTGTCACGGGAAGGGCTTCATTTTGACTGTGGATAATGGATGAGTTTAAACCAATATACAAGTTTTGTAATCATTTTTTTTCCCACAATCTAATCCTACCCTAGAATATCTGCTCATACAACGTAAAATCTTAGGATTCCATGGTACTTACTTAGAGGTCAACTTTAGTAAAATTCTAAGGTAAATATATGGTAAAAATGAGTGTTAAGTAATGTAAATGTGAATTTAGCTAATAGAGAAAGTGAAAATAAAGCCAAACTAAGTCAAAGTCACATTGCTTTGTAAAATTACTAAGTCAGTGGTCCTACTTAAAACTTTTTCCTGTATCTGTAGCTCATGTTATTTACTTGACTAAAATGAGTAAATATGAACCAGGTGACTATTTAATATAAGTTTAGCACTGTAATACTTACTTTGAGAACACGACCATTTTTGTTTGTTACCTTCAGGGTTAGTCTTTTTAGAATTAATTGACCTGACCATATAAAATATTACTTTAATTATAATCTAGACATGAACTTTTATTTCAGGACCAAGGTTGGTATCTGGCATAAACTGGTGATGTTCTGAATGCTTATAAATCTGTCCATTCCTTCTTTCCATATTTAGAGGCTGGTTTCCTAAAAGCAGCCATTTATGTTTTTAGTAACTTAGGTTTTTTGCTTTTGTTAATACATTTTTGGTAAGATATAATGATTTCTTGAAAGTTTTAAACAATTTTTGTATTCAATATAATAGGCTAAGTTTTTTAAACTGCCATTAGACCTAATTATTCCTGGAGGATTATTCTTAGAATTGAGAGTTTGGGAATGTATTAAAATGTGGGTTATTTACATGTGTTTTTAAATGTAGAACTTAGAACATAAGTTTAAGGTAACCTTTTTACATAGACTTTCATTAGCACTATTAGTTTGGCAACACTAAACAATCACAATAGTTTCCTAGTTTTGCATCATACATTTATCTATTAAGATCATGTTAACATTGTTTTCAAATTACAGTTTCTCACAAATCAGTTTTATTCAGAAATTAATTTTATGTGCCTAAATGCCTATAGTAGTTTAAAAAGTTTCATTTAATTGCTACATTTAATCTTCTAAATCTGGGTTACATAGAATGATGAACTGTATCTAGCAGTATTGGTCTGCCCTGTGTTTAGGGGAAAAAAAAATAGGCCTGCACATTTAACATATGAAGCACTCACAAGATAATTTCATAAAATAATAAACATTTAAATTTTAATATTTAGCTTGATTTTTTGAAGAAATAAGCACTCTATATTACTCATATTATCCTAATTGCAATTTATTATCCTAATTGCAAACTGTGTTCAGTGGGTTAGACACCAAGGAGGTGTCAGAGTTTATTGTTGTCTTGTAATTTTGTTTGCGTCTGTAAAAGCAAGGTATTGCAAAGAGCATGGTAAAATGTTTTACTGTATAATATTTGTTAAATTTATTAATCTATTTTAAAATGGATTATGTATTTGATAACGTAGTTTAGATTCAATGTTATCAATGAAGGTGGGGAGCATTTCTTTTTAATCAGTGTATACATTTTAATTCCAAGATCATGTATTATGTTCATCTACATCTTTAATGTCATGTACTGTTTCATCTTCATAATTCATCTTAGTAGTATAAATCAAAATAAAAATATAGTTTGGTGAAGTGTAATTAATAAAATGAGAATGTAGTATGTCAAAATCCAAAGAGTAAGTTTTGAAAGTTTGTCTTTCTACAAAATTGAACTGTTTGAAGAGACTTTATATTGGTTTTATGAAAGAGCAGGCAGATGAGTCATCTAAATTTTGTAACTTTAGGAAATCAAGAAGTGTTAGTCACTGTAGAATTTGAAAATGCTGCATGCTTTATATATTAACTTTTAATCGTAAATGTAAGTCAATGTGTTCATTTCAACTTTAGCTTTTTCTTATAACTTATTTTTACTAAAAATAGTTAAGGGAAAAATTTTCTAAAATATTGTGCTTTTTAAACAATGTTTATATTTTTATTTGTTGTTAAATGATAAATATCTGTCAGAATATTTACGGTCTTAATTTCATTTGAATGGAAATCTTATATTTTAAGATACAGATTTCTTTAATTTCCATGAGAGCTTTGAGAACTTAGGATTTGAGCATTTGCTGTGGCATATGGTGCATTTTCTGTCCTATTTTGTATACCAGCCCATTAAGGAGAGAAAGTGAAGTAAGTAATCTAAAAATAACTTGCTGTTGGCCTAATTTAACAACAACAAAAAAAGTCTTCTGTGCATAAGTAAAGTTTCACATTTTGTCTCCCCTAGTGGAAAATCTCTGCAGCATTTTGCCACTTATTCACAGAACAGCATCTTGTTTGGCATCATAATTACAGCCAGAAGGGCCGTGTTGACTTCTTTTTATTATTATGTGTGCTAGCCCTAGTCATAGTACTAAACTCCTTATTCCAGAAGGACCCACCTTATCTGATGATTACCATTTGGCACTTATGCACACACCTTTTTCCAAAATGCAATCGTTTTCACAGAAAAACTCACGATCTTGTATTGAACTTGAATTGGTGTTTACAAAAAACAATAGAATTAAAAGTATATATCAAAATTAATCACTAGAGGTATAGCTATGTTTTTGAAAGTTTTTTTTTTTTTGCTATTCAACTTATCTTTAAGTTATCATAGGCCATTTAAAAATAGAGGTTATGGCCGGGCGTGGTGGCTCAAGCCTGTAATCCCAGCACTTTGGGAGGCCGGGCGGGTAGATCACTAGGGCAAGAGATTGAGACCATCGTGGTCAACATGGTGAAACCCCATCTCTACTAAAAATACAGAAAATTAGCTGGGCATGGTGGCGCGTACCTGTAATCTCAGCTATTCAGGAGGCTGACGCAGGAGAATTGCCTGAACCCAGGAGGCGAAGGTTGCAGTGAGCCGAGATCACGCCATTGCACTCCAGCCTGGGTAAAAAGAGCGAAACTCCATCTCAAAAAAAAAAAAAAAAAAAAAAAAAAAAAAAAAACAAAAAAAAACCACAGCTTGTAAGATGAAATGAGGTTAATGGAATTTTTTCATCTTTACATTTTTTTTTTTTTGCTATTTTGTTCATGCTATTTACTAATTTTCAGATTGTTAATGTTTTCATACTTACTGGCATCTTCTTGTCATGCCAATTGGGGTGCTTGTGGCATAGAACAGAAGATAATGGTTCTTTTTCTAACTTTAAGATTTTGGACACTTGGACATTTTGTATGGTTATTACATTCAGTATTGATTAGAGGTGCAAAGTTCCTCAGGAGGTTGAGTATAGAACATTATTGGTAGAATGATGCTTTTCTTCCTGGTAGGGGGAACTGCTTGGTCCTGATGTATTTAAAAGCTTTTGCACTTAACATTCAAAGGAATTTTTATTTCTTCCATAAGAGCTTTAAGAATTTAGTAGTGAGCATTTGCTGTGGCATATGGTGCATTTTAAATTTTAAAATACTTTTGAATCCTCCATAAGCATTCATTCACTGATATGTTGGACTTGTATGAGCTTAGAACACCCATAAAGAATATTTTAGCTCTTAAAAAAATAAGGTGTGGAGCAGATAGGAAAGAAACTTTGTTAAATAATAACATGATTTAAGTATTAGAAGGATTGGAAAAAGAAGTAACAGCCCTATTAGGGATCTGTTGTATTAGAGTGCTGCATTAATGCCTGTGATGAATCACATCTCCCAGTATTCAGGTTCTCATGAAGTCCCCTCCCACAGTTATTCCGGCTTGGTTATGTGACTTGCTTTGGCCGGTGCCACATCAGTGAATATGATGCAAGTAGAGACTTTTAAGTGCTTGTACATTGGAGCTTACATTTTTGGAATGCTGCTGTCACCATGTGAGGAAGCCTGGTATAGCCTTCTTAATGATGGAAGACCACATGGAGAGACCTACCACAAGGGCTCAGGTGAGCGCTTCCCTACCTGCCCTACAAGGTGAATTCAGCTGCATAAGTAAGCCCATGCCAGATCAGCAGAAGAACCATGCAGCTAACACAGAATTGTGAGAAACAGTAAATTGTTACCTTCAGCATTAAGTTTCGAGGTGATTTGGCATATAGCAATAGATAAAACATAAGGGAATTATCCAGTTACAGGAACTTCTAAGTGTGTTTTTGTCTCCCTTTTATAGCAGTTGCTTTGGTAACATTCCTGCTATACCTAGTATCTGTGAAACACTGTTTCGGGTTGCAGAGAATTTAATAGTAATTTTTCACAATTGTCACTATGTAAAACAGGATTTTAAAAAATATATCCTACTTGAAGGAAGAGGTCTAGAAATGAGGGGATTATTAATAATGATTCAAGTTTATACCTATTTGACATGTTCTGGTGAGCTGCTTCGAAAAACTTCACTGATCCATGTGGATGAGAAATTAGATCTCATGGGAGCAACTCACCTTAAGAGAGGTGAGATTTCGGGTTTGAAAACTGTTCCCAGGGCCAAAGATAGTTGTGAGAAAAATGGGTATTTATTCAAGCAGAAGAAGTTGTGAACTGCTCTGATGGACTACTAAAACTACTCCACTGCAGAATTTGTGGCAGAGTCCTAGGAAGAACAGCAACCAAAAACAGCAGCAATACTAAAATCACTGCCTGTAAGACTTAATGGGCATAATGCAATTATACTTTGTCACTTGTGCACAAGAGTGTGCCATAAATGCCAGTCAAGGGGATTTTTGCTCACTGCAATAAGGTGCCTTTTGAATCACCTTGAAACACAAACCTGAGGAGTGCTCACATATGGGAAATACCAGGCATTGAAACAGTGAATCAGTGATGTAGGAAGTTACAAACCAGTACCAAAAAGGGGAATGTGGTTTCTGTGCTTTTTTTTTTTTTTTTTGAGAAAGGGTTGCGCTGTGGCCCAGTCTAGAGTGCAGCAGCGTGGTCTCAGCTCACTGCAACCTCTTCCTCCTGGGTTCAAGCAGTTCTCCAGCCTCAGCCTCCTGAGTTGCTGGGACTACAGACATGTGCCACAAATGCCTGGCTTGTGTGTGTGTGTGTGTGTGTGTGTGTGTGTGTGTGAGATAGAGATGACAGTTTGTGTTTTTTGTAGAGATGAGATTTTGCCATGTTTCCCAGGCTGGTGTCAAACTCCTGAGGTCAAAGATATCTACCTACCTTGGCCTCCCAAAGTACTGGGATTACAGGCATGAGTCACTGTTCCTGGCCTGGTTTCTGCACTTCTAATGCTTATATTTGTGGTTGCTAGAATATTTTCTACATGGGTTGAGAACGCAAATGCTCATTGTCAGGAGCAGGAGAATAGGGAGGCTCCAGTGGGACTTGGAGATAAAGGAACACTGGTAGGAAACCTCTTGGAACTTTCTTACTTAGTTAGGAAGTGTTTGAAAGGAGTTAGAGTACCTGTGGATGTGCAGATTTAGCCATTTTCATTGTTACAAATTTGACTTTTTCTTCCTCACCCTTATGTGGCCTGGGAGAACATGAGTTACACGTGTCTATATTGAGTTCATTTCATCCGGTTATCTTCACAAAGAGTGACAAACACAAAAGGAAACAGTACAAAAAATTCAGATTAATTTCAGAGACTTGAGTGTATTGTGCAATTTTAGGATATTGACTGATCCTTCATCAGAGAATGAACCATGATGGTGAAAGAATTACAAAGCTGTGAAAGAGATTCCTGTAAAAACAAGAATTAACACTTTAGAAGACAAAATTATTCCTAGTCTCTTTAGTTATCTAAAGTACTATGTATGTAGGTAGGTAATTGGTGTTCACAAACATAATGAAATTGATACTGTGGAAAAAGAAGAAATATAGAAGACCAAATGTGAAATAGAGTATAAAGACCTCTAGGAGGACTGTGGGAAAAAGCACAATTAAATCAGCTCATGAAGAAAAGAAGCAAAGACCTTCTCAAATCCTAAACAAAAATTACTATAATTTATTAGAAATGAATTATACTTGGAATTTTTTATTTATCATTTTTATTTTTAGGGATCAGTTTCTACTCTGTCACTCAGGCCCGAAGGTGGTTGTGCCATCATAGCTCACTGCAGCCTTGAACTCCTGTGCTCAGGCAGTCCTCCATCCTCAGCCTCCTGAGTAGCTGGGACTACAGGTATGTGCTACCATGCCCAGCTGTTTTTTTTTCTTTTTTATTTTTTGTATTTGTTTGTTTTTTGTAGAGAGAGGGCCTCACTTTGTTGCCCAGGCATGTCCCAAACTCCTGGCTTCAAGTGATTCTCCTACCTCAGTCTCCTGAGTAGCCAGTACAGTAGGTGTATACCACCATACCCAGCTATTTTCAATTTTGTTTTTAAAGATGGGGTCTTGCTGTGTTGTCTAGGCTGGTCTCATACTCCTGGGCTTAAGTGATATCTTCGCCTCCCGAAATGCTGGGCTAAAGGTGTGGGCCACCACTCCTGGCTTTGGCAAAAATTTTTATATATTTAAAGCAGTGACAGTTAAAAGCCCAACATGATTATTTTGGGGTAAATACATTTACCGGTTTTAAACTAACTTGAGAAACAAGTTGTAATATTTTATTTAAGAGAAAGCAACATTAGAGGAGAATGAAGCTATTACATCAATGTGAATTTTATATATGCTTTGTTTCATTGCACAAAGAATTTAAGAGAATTATAAAAAGAAAACTCTGCAGTGAAATATGATGAAGTAGAAAATAAAATCAAGAAAAACATGATTCAGTATAGAAAGTCAAAATGAGGCAAGATGTCTACCAGAATGAAAGACAGAGAGAGCTCCTAATTTGCCTTTGTGATTACTGGCAGTTAAAGCAAAATGTAATTAGTTATAGAATATCCATTTTAGAAAGAAGAATATATATGCATGTATATACAGTATGTATATACATGCATATATATATATATATATATATATATATATACACACAGACACACATATATAACATTCATTAGGAAAGGAAATATTCTTTGGACTAAATTCTATAAAATATTTCTTGTGTTGGGTCTTACTTGGGAATAATGAGTGATACAGGGGCTAGATCCCTGACCATGTTCCAGCAACAGATTTTCTGAAGCATCACTTATGTCTGTTCCTGTAAAATTAAAAGTTATACCACCAAAGCACAACTCTGCAGGTTTGATTATGAGACAGACTTAAATATATATATGAGTACTGTTTTTTTCTTTCATTATTACAGTTACCTATTTTACTTAATTCATTTACACTTCAGTTAAATCTTCTGAAGCAACTGCAGATTTATGTTTTTAATCCCTAGTTTCTCCATTGTGCCATAGATGAATGTTTTAAACAGTGTACTGAGCAACTCTTCCTGGATAGTCTTTCTTATTTTTCTTGAATGGAATGCAAAATACTGCTTTCTTTCAAGAAGCTTAAATTGTATTTCTCTATGATAGCTCCCACTTGCCTTATAGTTACTGCTATTCAGCTCCCAGAATGAACCTCATAGTGATAGTTGTACTTGAGAGCCTGTCTTTCTGAAAATATTGAAGTTATATCATCCTAAGATTTTGACTTGTATTAAATAATCAAAGACTGAAAACAGTAACTAGATAGACTGAAATCATGGAAGAAGAACTGAAACAAGGAAAGTTAGCAGGGTTCTCTAAGCAATTGAAAATTTGAAAATGTTTGTGTAAAACAGAAAAGAACATTACTTAAACAGCTGTTTTGTTTGTTGCATTTTTTTCTTTTGAATTATTGACTACTAAGTGTCAATTTATGAATTATCACCTCAGTCCATCTACCTTTTTTCCATTTTCAGCTTCACTATCACAGACTAAGGGCCTCTCAGCTCTGGCTTGGCCTACTGATGTAATCTTCTACAATATGTCTTAGGGCATGTTTCTGTTACATGGCTTTTGCTGTTACATCTCTTTTTTCTTCTGTAGCTGTGCCTACCAGAGTGCAGGCACATTATAAGTACTTAAAGCATATTTGTTGAATGAATTTATGGTTTTTTCATGGACCCTACCTCTCCAGAAGGTTCTCTAACACAACAGGCAGAATGATGTTTATAAAGCACTTCTTTTTATGTTATCCCTGTTGTTATAATGACTCTTCATTTCTTTTGGAGAAATGACCACAACCCTTAACATAGAGATCAGAGTTGTACAGTACGTGGCTCCTCCGCTGTCTCTTCTCCCCGGCTCTCTGCTCTTAAACACACTGGCATCTGTTCATTTCCTTCAACTGTGCCATCCTCTTTCTTGTCTCAGAGCCCTTATTGGAGCTTTTTTCTTTGCCAGAAATATTGGCTGTTGATCTTCCCACTTTGCTTCTCTACTCAACCCTCTCATCTCAATTCAAATGCAGCTTCCTTGTGGAACGCTTCTTTTTTTTAACCTAACTAGATCTATGCTATGGGTTCTCATGACACCCTGTTCTTTCAATAAAATTCATAATGACACATTCATCATGGGAGAAGCTGATTAATGTTTGCCTGCCTCTGTGCCTCCACTCAACCATAAGCTTCTCAAAGGCAGACACTTTTGTTTCCCCTCACTTTGAACCCAGCACTTGCATGGTACCTGGTGTGTGGTAGGAATTAAGCATTTATTGTATGAATGAATGAATAAGTGAATGAATTTATTTATTCACTTATCTCTGCCTTTTTCCTAAATGAATTTAAAGTGTCTTCCACGATTATAACCCCTCTAGTAGCATGTTTCCCTAATTGTAGCATAAATAGATATTTTTTCTTTTGGTTTAATTTCCATCTAAGACTATTGGTTATAATTTTGAAGTTATGAATTTAAAAATAGAGTAGCTCATGTAAAATCTGGATAGTGTGAGAAATTAACCAGTAACACGTTGGGACAACTCCAGATACCAATTGCAGAATGAGACTCATGGTCCTACAGGAGAGAATTAATCTGTGGGTCAGCTCTGTCCTCTAGGTGAGTAAGGTTCTTTGGAAAGCCATCCAGGA